TTGAAAGAAAATTGGGGCGTGAAATTTTTTTTTTTTTTTTTTTTTTTTTTTTTTTTTTTTTTAACTGAGAAACAAAACTCAAACTGAAAACTGGTTTTGATACTGAAAAAAGTTTGGATCTGAAGAGAAAGATCTGAAACTGAAAAAAAAACTGGAAAGTAATTTTGAACTTTTTTCAGTTTCATCATTATTTTCAGTTTAAAAAAAACTTGGACTAAACTTTATGTACTTTATAAAACTCCATATATATGGAGCTAAATTGGGGCCATTAGGTTTGCTCAATCTGATTTTACTTGTTTTGTAACTGTATGTCTCATCGTTGACAGTTAAGTCATATTATTTTGTAAATACAATTGAATATTTTTAGCACAAGTCATTAATGCTGAGCTTCCCTTTAGCTTTTTTCCCATTACCCTTAGTGATTGTGACAATTATTTGTTTATATTAACTTTAAGTTTTTCTTCAATTTTTAACCATTTTTTTTTTGTACATCATGATTATTTTTCCTAGTTATTACTTTTTGCATTTATTTCACTCAGCACAGTTTGTCTAAATTAAAGTTTACACAAATAAGTTCTCATGAGAAATTTTAATCCAGTTTACCATTTGTTCATCCATGCAATTTCTATGCAAATTTGAATTTAATTTATTTTAATTAACCATCACCAATCAGAGAGCTGCTCAGTGTTTCGCTAACTACCATAAAAAAAAGAAGTGCTCAGTGTTTGCGGAAGTAAACATGGATGCTAACGGTGGAGCTTAGCTTACGATTTTAAAGTTGTTATCCAAACCGAACCAGCAAATCCTCATTATAGTCCGTCATGGTTTTTGTTTTTCTTCCCGCCTGCGTATATCAGGGCGCAGTTTAGTGACGTTTGTCGAGTATCAGTGACGTTCAGGTCGAAAGATTGCGACGTGGCCTTTCAGATTCTGGTCACATTTAAAAAATAAATAAATAAATAAATAAAAATCGGCTGTGTATCGGATTTAGAACCACATACCCAAGTGACCTGAGTCGCATTTGTAGAAATCTTGCCTGTGTTTCTGACAGAGATCAGATAAAGGTCACATTAAGGCAAAAAAAAAAAAAAAAGAATCGGAGTTGGGTCACTTCAGGCTGCAGTGTGGACACAGGCTAATTTGAAGAAGCACCGACAAACAATTAAGAATTATCACAACCATTTAACAAGAAGAAATGTAATTTTGCTAAATCTTTGATTTAAAAACATAATCAGATTATAAAATCATTGCTTTGCCGTTCTAGGAATTATTGGACTGAAACTGTTGCTTTGGTTGCTTATTCACACTGACATAGCTTCCAGTAACTGCAGCAGAACATCAATATCGATGATCAATAATACACCACTCTTTGCTGCACGTGCATTCTTGCAAAATCTTTCCTGCACTCATCCCATTTGTTACATAACTAAACACACTCAGAAAGCAAAGTTAATGAAAAATACATGTAATAGAGCGTTTCAGAAATGCACTGAAACAAGCAACCATGAAGCTAAAAGAAACAAATTACAAAACCAAACTAAAAATCAGTAAGTAAATTTATATAACACTTTACGTTTTCTGCTGCAAAGCGTCCAACAAAACATTTTTATTAAAGTAAGAGCTCCCTCTTCTGTCCATGTCTATGTACTGCACCCAGTGGGGTGAACAAGGTTAGTATCACAAACAAAAAAGATGAAAAGTCAGAAGAACATCAATCAACGAGCCAAAACTTAAGTTTTCCGATTGTTTCACACATTTTTATGACACTATAGCTACTTGAAGCTTAATTAACTGAAGGATAATGTATGAAATATTTGGCGGAGGTGAGTTACAACCTTAATAACAGTTAAACATCAGTTAATATGATCTATTAACCAACACTGTTATTATTCAGAGTTTCATTTTCTATTTTTACAAGTGTTGCACGACTCCCATATTTTATAGCCAGTATGAATTATTGATTCAGCTGCAGTGAACTGTAGTGAGGGTTGGACGGCTACGCCAGGAGTTTCAGGGTTTAAAACTAACTGAATAAAAGGTTTAATGTGTCCAGAAAACCTAATGAAAATAACATCACACTGCAAAAACACAAAAGCTTATTTTGTCTAGTTTCTAGGGCATTCTTGAAATTAGACAAAAGTAACTCATAAGTAACTTTTAAAAAATAAAATACAGCTTCTTTAGAGACAATAATTCCTTAATATTTATGAAAAAAGATTTGTTTCACTGGCAGATTATTTAATTTGCAACAAGACTATTTTCTCATGTTAAAAGTGAAATAATCTGCNACGGGAACCAAAACTTTTTTTTATTAATATTGTTTTAAGTAAATAGTTCTTGATTAACTATTTACTTAAAACAAGCTTCTCTCTTGCTGAAAAGATACTTGTAAGTTAGTTTTGTCTTAATTCAAATGTACTAAGATATTTGCACCAGAAATAAAATGTATTTTATAAGGGAAAGTAGAAGTACTTTTTCATAAATTATGAAGTTATAATATGGGGAAAAAATATCAGGTTTCCCTGACAGATTATTTTACTTATAACTAGTACTTTTTCATCAATATTAAATAATTATTCAATCTAAAAAAGCTCATATTTCTTGTTAAAATAATTACATGTAAGTTAGTTTTGTCTTATTTCATGTGTATGAGGATATTTTGCACTAGAAATTAAAATTTGGTAAGATTTTATGTTTTTGCATTTGTAGGATTTCTGACTCAGATTAATTTGATAAGAACCTTATGTAGCAACTTTGCTGCTTACAATTTATATTAATTAAATAAAAGTACAATTAGAAGTCTGGTAAGGGATTTGTAGAGGTTGCAGAAAAAATTTAAGTCAACCATTATCAAAAAGTGGAAGACGTTTAAAAAAATAAAAATTTCCAGGTAAGTTTATCCTGAAAGCAGACTGCAAGATACAAAAAAAATCTCCAGATATTAAAATATTTAAATATTGCACAAGTTTAGCTTTCGATAAGTGCAAGGATGATTTAATTGTTCCATGTAAATAAGGAGAATAAAATTCACATAATCTTAATTGTGACCTTAAAAATCCAAAGAGTGCACACACATTGCAGACAGTAAACAGAGGTCTATTTTATTTTGAATGAGTCTTTTAATTAATGCATTTCAAGTACTCCAAAAATTACATCTCTTTGCACAATACAATTTCAAATTTTTATTTTCTTTTTTTTAGTAAAAATGTTCAAAGTGAACAAAAATTTCGAATACTGTATAAAACACAGTGAACATTAAAATCAGACAGTAGTTTTTACGCTTTAATCATGTGTTCTTACGGCCTACATCACCTACGACATTTCAACTCAATTTGGACATTTTCAGTGCACGTTTATCTAAAAACTTTTACCAAGACTACGAAATTAAAAAGAAAGTAAATTTACAGGCATTTTTATTTTAAATTTCTGCTCGTCTACCCGAACCATGCCACAGGATAAGAAAATGAAAAATAAAAATAAAAAAATCAGAATGGGAATGTAACATTATCACTGAATAGTTTTTTCCTCCGTTGATGACAGTGGTAAAAAGCATAAGCAAATTCCAGTTCTACTTGCACAAAGAAGAACATAAATAAATTAGAAGAGAGGAAACTTTGTCACATATGAACATTTTTAACAAGTTACTCTGAATTTAGAAAAAAAAGAAATAGATGTATCAAAATGTACTTTTCATTTTCAAATTAAATGCTAACTTTTTTGTTGTTTTATTTTATTTTTTTTTCCTCCAAGTACTGTACAAGTTTACAGGTAAATTCTTCTGGCCTGACAGGTGAGATGAGAGTTTAAAAAGAGAGCTCCATTGTACTCCAACCGCCAAGCTATCGAATTCATCCGCCTCGCTGCAGAAAACGACGCGTTAGTCGTTTGCGTCGACCGCTCCCCTACAGAGCTCACTGCGACGAGGACGAAAAGAGTCGCACTAGATTTCATTAGTGTTGCATGCATTTAAAAATAAAACGTGTGCTATGAAATACAAAATCTGGGATGCGTCTTCTTGTAGAGGCATACATGATATTTTACACTTAAGCAACATTATTGGGGATTTTCCCCCTGGGGAAAAAAAAAATTAATAAAAAAAAGGAGTACATGCATTTTCAATTCCTTATTTTCAGTCAGATTTTGTTCTGCTCTCGCTCAAAATTCACCTCAAATTCACACACAAAAAGAAAAAGGACGCAGACAGAAAAAGAAATTTTAAAGTATCTTTTGTCATGTCAGACAAAAAGCCTAACTTATAAATATAAAAGTCTAATTCTTTAATATTGATTTAGAAAAAAGGTGCAAAAGATCCACTGGTAGATTTTTTTCACACTGCAAAATCACAAAATCTCACCAAGTATTTTTGGTCTAGTTTCTATCTTACTATTCTCAAAATGTGACAAAACTAACTTACAAGTAACTTTTTAGCTTGTTTTAAGCAAATAATTCCTTATTTTTGATGAAAAAGTTCTAGTTCCAGTGGCAGATTATTTCACTTATAACAAGACATTTTCCCCATGTTATAAGTTACGGTAATTTATCTGCCAGTGGAACTAAAAATGAAGGAATTACTCACTTAAAACAAGCCTATATTTTTCTAAAAAAAAAGTTGCTTTTAAATTAGTTTAACTTCTTTCAAGTGTACTAAAGATATTTGCGCTAGAAACTAACCCAAAATAACTTGGTCAGATTTTGTGTTTTTGCAGCGTATGAGAAGACTCTGTGGAACTACAACATTTTTATCAATATTAAGCAATTATTAACTTAAAACAAGCTCCTATATCTTGATAAAAAATATTTTAAGTTAGTGTTGTCTCGTTTAAAGTGCGATAAGATATTTGCATTACAATTGAGCCAAAAAAATGTAGTTAAATGTTGGTTTTGCAGTGTGTTACAGCGATCAGATTTAATGTTGCTTATGCAAACATCTTCTGTTCCTCCTTTACTGGGATGAAACCTGAACTCCCTGCTTTGTTTTCTGCTTGCAAATTCATTTTTTCTCTCTGCCTGATGACAGTTGCAGCCAATAAAATGGCGGCGAGACTCTGAACGCAACATGTTCACCCAACAGACGGAGGCGCTGCCAGTTAGAGTCTCTGCAAACTGTTGAGGAGAAAAAAAATTGCAGGTTTTACTAGTATTTTAGCGAAACTATTAGGAAAAGAAATTTCTGCAAGAGGCATTTACTCTGACATGTAAGGTTGAGTTTTGTGCGAGAGCAGAAAAAACATCTACTGGGGAAAATAAGGAATTTCAGTCAATTTAAACATGTATTCTCTTACGAGTAAAAAAATAAAAAAAAGTCATGATTGCATCACCAGGTACAGTTCTTGTCATCTAATAAATAAAATTCACAAAAAGGGTTCGTTTTGCAAACACCTGAGGTCAAACCAATCACACTTCCTCCCTGCTGCCGTCTCAGTGGATTTCTACGGTAAACATCCTGCACCGGTGAGCTCTTTAGGGGATCAGGAAGTAGCTTTTCCATTAGATTAGTAGTGAACGCACTGAGGAGAACGTTAGTGAACAACACTGCTGCATTACACTTCTCTTTCCTGCGTTACACAGCCGTCAAAATAAAAGTAGTGAATTACAGATATTACAGACCTTTGTCAATTCAAAGCCACATGTAATAAATGTGTCTGCATGCCCACAAGGAAAAGTTTTTAGATTTGCTATCTGAGGAATAATAGAAAGACTTAATCTTACTTTTTTTTTTTTTTGTCATTTTTAAAAATTTATTTCCACACTCATGTAAACTAACATGACTCATTCCTAGACTCCTAGCCTTCGTTTTCAGTGTCACTCTTCATGATCAAATAGTGTTGTGATCCTTCATATTTGTTCCCATGACGCTACATCTCCTTACACAACATGAGCAAAAAAAAACATAACGTTAGCTAGAGCAAAAAAAAAATAAAACGAAACGTAAAAACAGGGATATGATGCCCTTGTTGTTCATAATCTTGTAATCAAATAAGTGAATGCGATCCAACTCAAGAGCGTCAAATCCTCAACGTTCCTTCATTTATGCGTTAAGAATCCTGAGAGCACTAACCGAAAAGAAAAAGAAAAGAAACGTAGTGAAGAATTACACATTTACAGTAGAAGAAATAGTTTGTTTTCACTTATGATACACTAAATATTTACAGTCACATGCAGAAGATTATCTGCATGAGGAGACCAGAGCCTGTCTCTTTTGCTGCTCGACATGAAAAATCAGAAATAAAAAGTGCCACAAATTCCCACTGAGTTTCTCTCATTCCTGGTCAGGATGATGAGGGGGGAAAAGAAACAAAAAGAAGAAGAAGAAGAAGGACAGGAAGAAGAAGAAGCACAGAACGATTCACCGGCAGTCACTCGAAGATCGCAACAGAAAGAAAAACACATCACAGGATGTACTAACGCTACACATGATTCCTTATCTCTTCTTGGCACTCCTTGGAATGAAAAGAAAAACGAAAAGAGAGATGGAAAACGATGCACTGGAGATGGCTGATGGTCGAGTCCACTCCGCAAAGAGCCGGCTGAGTTGTTAGACAAAGTTTTTACTCTTCTTCCGCGTAGAGCGCGTTGTCTGCAGATCGGACGATATGACGACGACAAACAACCGTGTCAGGCTTTTCTTTGGATGGAGTGACGCTTTTGTTTCCCACTGTAGGCACGAGGAGGAGCCAAGGCATTGGGGGTTGCAAGGAGGGGCAGCGGGGTCTCAGCGTCTCATCTGGCCCATCTGATAGTTCTCTCTGGGCTGACGGTGGTGCCTCTGGGGCTGCGCCTGCCGCTGCGGCTGGCCCCGGGCTTGTCGCTGGCCGCCGTGGGCGTGGGGGTGCTGCGACTGGTGCTGCACCTGAGAGCTGGCGTGCTGCTGCGCTCGTCGCCTCTTCAACGTGCCTGGAGACAAAGCAAAACGGAGGGTCGGCTCGCTTTTCAGGAGTTTTCAAGGCGAGAAGAGAAAGTGGGCCTTCTATCGCCTGAAGAACATTTCCAGGATTAGAGGACCCAATGAAATCTAGAGAAACTGATCCAGGTGTTTAACTTTAGTCACACTGATCACAGTAAAAAAAAAGACTCAATCTAATCCAGAATGCTGCTGCTGGAGTTCTGACTAAAACCAGGAAGGTAGAGCGCATAAACCCAATTCTAACAACTTACACTGAAAACAAGAGATCATGTTACTCTATATAGGTAAATGTTTGAGTAAAATGAACATTGTTTTTTTTATTCTATGACTTGTCTCTGAAATATTTATTTGTGGTCAAAATAAGGAAAAAAGTGCAGAGCTTTCAGATGTCAAGCAATGCAAAAAAACGAGTTCATGTTCCTTTAGAAACAACAATACTAATGCTTTAACTCAGGAAGAGTTCAGAAATCAACATTTGGTGGAAAAACCACAGGTTTTCAGTGTTGGTGCAGTGGGCTCTTCATTTTTTCCAGAGCTGTGTGTAGAAAGCTTAGGAACTGACCTGGCAGTGGTTTGGGCGGAGGCAGCTTGGGGTTACTGCTGGGCGTGTGAACGCTGCAGATCTTGATGAAACCCGCCATGAGCATGATGAGAGCGATGCCCATCAGCAGCACGGCCCACCAGTGAGCCTGCAGGAGGGATCATCACGAAACCTTTTAACCTTAACCTTAAAACCAAGAAACGTCCAGCGGATTCGGTACGCACCACAATCCACTCTGCGATGTTCTCGTAGAGTTCTGGGTTGAAGATGGCCTTCTTTAGCCGGGCGAGCGGCCCGTCCGCGTCCACCAGCCGGCACTTCATGAACACGTCGCAGTAACCTTTGAAATCGTTGCAGGGCGATCCCGCTGGCAGGGTGGTGACTTTCTTACTGAAGAACCGAGCCAGGCGCTCCGACCCCGTGCTGCTGCAGGTGTTGGGGTTCACTGCAGAAACGGATCAAGTTTCTCATTTGCATTGTGTCGACCAAGACAAAAACATAAAACTCTACCCGGCTTGGCTGCTGCCCACTTAAATTCTCCCCTGCAAAGATCTTTTCACTGCAACATTTTTCTCTTGCATGTGTTTGAACGGAGAAATAGATGCAAAGCATTCAGAGCGATGGAATCGGCTCCAGTCCGAACTAAAGATGTTGGGTCACATTTCATTGGAGCGGTTCTTAAAAAAACGTGCAATGTGATTCTATTAAACAGTGTCAGTCCTTTTAAACTGTTATGTAATTTGTTTTAACCCTTATCAGCTGAAATGTGTCACAGACGACACATTTTTACAAGCCAACTTTGCGAAACCTGAAAGTTTCCATCGGTTTCTGAAAGGGAGTCGTTTTGCTCTCCAGCGAATATCAGGTTATTACGGTAATTTCACTCCAGGGAGCAGGTTTTACTTCAGTTTACTCTTAGTAGACAACAAATTGTAAATAACTGCTAGATATTGATAGTATAAACGGGGAAAACTATTTACTCACAGGACTTTTAAAGAACTTTGTACAAATAAAATAAGCAAAAATATCCAGTCGAAGATTTGAAACTGAAGTTTGAGGTCTAAGTTTGTACAGTAACCCCAAAAACACAACATCTTACCAAGCAGTGTTGGTCTATTTTCTAGTGCAAATATCTTAGTTCACTTGAAATAAGAGAAAATTAACTCATAAGTAACTTTTCAGCAAGATGTAGGAGCTTGTTTTAAGTCAATAATTCCTCACTATTGATGGAAAAATTCTCGTTCCTTTGGTAGATTAATTCACTTTCAACAAGACATTTTGTTAAAAGTGAATTAATCTACCAGTGGAACATTAATATTAAGGAATTACTGACTTGAAACAAGCTCCTACATCTTGGTGAAAAGTCACTTGTAAGCTCGTTTTGCCTTATTTCAAGTGAACTTAAGACATTTGCACTAGAAATGAGACCAAAAATACTTGGTAGGATTTGCAGTGTTTAAATTAGTTTTACTTTTGTGTTGCTGATTCTCCTCTTGAAAATGAGATCTGGATCTTCAATAGGTTTTGTCTGGTTAAATAAAGTTAAAAAACAGATAAAGCCGCTCACTCTTCTCCATGCAGCACACGTGGCAGAGCTCGGTCTCGTCCTTGCCATCTTGGCTGGCGCAGGTGCACGCCTCGAGCCCGTACTTCTCGCAGATGGAGCCGGAGCAGCCCTGCGGGGGAGGAGCACGAGGACAAGCGACATCAGACACCGACTAGTGTGAGAATAGCGTTGCCACAGCAACCAGCTCTGCCGGCGCCAGGTGCGAAACGTTCGGGCGCTCACCCCGTTGAGGCAGACTTGAGTTTCGCCGTGGCAGGCGGTGAAGTTGGCCTTGGGCTCCGAGGTCGGGCACTGGGCGCTTCCGCCGCTGCACATGCCCTGGTGAGCGCACTCGGACTCTTCCCTGCACTTCTCGTTGCGACCCTTGTAGCTGCACTCGGGAGTGCAACAAGGACCCTGACTCGGGCTGATGGGAAACGAGCAAAGAGCCGCGTCAAAAACGAGTCAGGCGTGAGTCGATTGATCCTCCTCATGCGGAACGAAATGTCAAAAACCCATAAAAATATCTAAGAAAATACCTGAAGCTGTAACAATTGTCGACTGATGGTTTATTAGATCAAAATTAGCTCTAATCAATTAACAAATAACATCCGCTTAGACCAGTGTTTTAGTGTTGTTTTTCCGCCATCCAGCAGAGGGCGCCACTGGTCAAACTTCAGCAGAAACAGTTGATACAGAAACAAAATGGCGGGAAAGATTAAGTCAAATTAGACCAGAGGTTCGCAAACTGAGGGCGCGCCCCCTAGGGGGCAAGACGTTGAGCAGCATCAACTTCTTCTTCAAAAATCAAAAATTACTCATGTAAAATAACGAAAAAAAAAAAAAAGCCAATAAGTAAGGTTGACTTTGAGGTTTGCCATGAGTTAAACTTTCCTTCAAGAGGAACCATATAACATATTTTATTGTTTTGGTCTTATTTTTCTATTCAGCAACCAAAGAGGTTCCTGTTTTGTTCCACTTTATGTCTAAATTTAACAATTTTATGCTCATTTAGTCTATTTAATACAAAATAATATCAAAAGTTAATAATTAATCACTCAGATAATTGCTGCAGCTAAAACTAAGTATTGTTTTGGTTTATTATTCATATTATCAGCTTTTGGTCATAAATGTGCTACATAAATAAACTTTGACTCTAACCATTAGTCGAGCGATAAGATAAACAGACTTTAGATCAACTTACTGTTTGATTTCTTACCTGCAGACTTTGTTGGGCTTTAATTTGCACTTCTTGTTGTCGGGCTGGTTGGCGTCGTAGCAGCACAGGTCTCTGCACTGGTCGCTGTAGCCGCAGTCGCACTCCTCTCCGGGCTCCACCAGGCCGTTCCCACAGATCGGCTGGCCAGATTCTGAGCCAAAGAAAACGCAAAGCTAAACGCCACAAAACTGGAAGCTAGAGGAAATCAAATACCGCCAAAAGAAAACACAAAATAAAATGTTCAACAAATCCTTCAGGAGTATAATGTCAAGAAATCCATCAATATTGTTGATAAATAATGAATGTAATAGTGCGGATAGGTTTTGTTGCTACTGCATTCATTTATTAATTCAAATGTATTCATTTTGTTCTTTTTATAATTTATTTTTTCAGCGTGGAAAGATTGTACAATAAATAACCAGAGTTGGGAAGCAACTAGCTGGATTTACTCGCTTGAGTGTCTTTTTTTGGGGAAAAAATTACTTTTAGGAGTGTAGTTTTTTTTTTTTTTTAACTACGCTGTACTTTTTACTTGAGTAATTTTATCGTTAAAGGCATTTTGCTTACTTCTACTTAAGCAAAATGCCTGGATGAAGGGTTAACCCCAACCCTAACCCACTGAATAAAAAAAACAAACATGTTTTAACCGAAATTCACCAAAAACAGAC